TCACCAGATCCACTATGGTGAAAGGTGCAAAAGGACTTCACAGTAAATCTAAGTGGTCAGCAGTCAGGTTGTATGGCATATTCTCTTTACTAAATACCCAACAGATCCAGCCTAGAGAAAATTAATAAGAAGCTAACACCCTGTTTCCTAATCAGATCAGGGAGTTCTTGTTATCATTCTGGTATAATTTAATAGATATCATAAAGGAAATTTTCTGCAATCATTGAGATTGCCACCACAGTGCATGCAATTATCACTGAACTAATAAACAACTGCCCAAGATTAAACAAAAGCCCTTCATAGCAATGTCCCTTATTCAGTAGTCACATCCTTTCCTTTTCGAAAATGTATCCATTTGCCAGAACGCAGTGCCCCTCTTGAATAGATCTAAGGCTCTTGTACTCTTAATTGCACATATTTTTTTGAACCACAGTATAATATCTACTCCAAAGCACCACTCCCCTGCCTCTGACCCATCAGCTTCTCTCTTAATCTTAGCAGTGCCTTCTAATTCTACAGCACCATCTCTGGGCACTGCGTGCTGCCAAGCAATGATGTCCCCAAATGTGTCCCCCAGTTCTGACCAACTCTAATCTTACCATTACCATGGAAACCCTCTCCTCACGGGGAAAGGAGATCCTGGCTTTCCGTTGACCTCCGTGGTTTCAATGGCCTGGACAGGTGGGCCAAATTCAGCCACCTGGTTTCTTTTGTTATTGTTCCCATTGGCTTTACTTCAGAAAGAAGCAGATTTGCAGCGTTCCTTAAGGGAAGCAGCTGCCGGAACTGAAACAGATTTCCTGCCTCCCAGCTGGTAATGGTGTGCCAGGAAATCTTTCAGAGAAATCCTCTAATTTTCACTCTGTTCGTTCTATATCTTAGCAACCACTTTAAGAGGACGAGGAGACTGAAGAACCTCTAGGCATGATCTTTCTTCTGAATTGCTTAGATTTTATTTCTCCATCAGTGACACCCAGCATGGCATCTGTTAGCCTAAGTGTGCTTATGTATCACATCTACCCTCTTCCCTCCCTACCTACCCCCAGATGGAAGGTGCAGAGAGAACCCATGTCTGAGGGACTCCCCTTATCACTGTGTCTACCAGCAATTAGGTCTCAGGATTGGGTTTGAATGGGCTTGTTTTTAAAATTTTTAAAAATTTCTACTATAGGCAATGTCATAACTATATAAAGTTTATGGTATTGATGTTCACCGTTATGTACATCACAGCTACCAAAGTGTTCATAGTCCTCTGCCTCTGTTCTTATGTCACCTCTGCTTTGATCTTCATTCTATTTTTAATTCTTGCCTTCTTATGCTACTACCATTAGAATGATTACTTCTTTAAAGGGGCATTCTATTTCACAGCAAGGAAAGAATCAGGTACTTCTTTTCTCAGCATAGGGTCACACCACAACAAGCTTCACCCACCCCAAGAGAGTGCTTGATTAGGCCCCAACCAAACAATTCCTGAATGTAAAGATGGTATCAATTTGAGAGAGAACATTCATACCAGTGCTTTTCATGCTTAACCATGCAAAAATAAATAATGATCAGTTAGTCAACTAACCATAAGTTCCTAGAGAGTGTAAATTGCCCATATTTCTGAGGGTACATCTCAACAAAGTGCCTCAGGTCCTTTATCCTGAAATTTTTTTTTTTTGTCCAGTATGATAACCAAGGACCTTGTGGCTACTACTGAGCATTACAAATAAGAAACCTGAATTGAAATATTGTAAATGCCAATTTAATAACTCACTATGAAATAAAGAATGTGAGGCCAGAAAAAGAGCACAGCAGCTAAAGATTTTGCCTTACAAACTGCTGACCTGGATTCAATCCCTGGTACCACATACGGTTCCTGTAAAAACCATCAGGAGAGATCTCAGCACAGAGACGGGGTAAACTCTGAGCACCATTGGCTGTGGGTCCAAAATCAAAATACAGTGTAAACTATATCCATTTTTACTTTAAGTAAATATTTGAGTAACATTTAAGACATGCAGAGTTTTTAAGTGTTTTTTAAAGGATCTTATAAGTTTTATAAATTTTTTAAAGTATTTTAATTCATCATTTGATTTTAAATTGTTAAAATGTAGCTGATTTTTTAATCTAAAACAACAATGGGGTATTACACATGTGCCTGAATTTAATTCCTGTTTAGCACGGTTCTACTATAATCACTAGTCTCCAGAGTCACATACCTAAGTTTGCAGAGCACTGACATCAAGATTAAGGGTAGTGCCCTTCTGTGACCTAATTGGAACTCTGCTTTCATCCTTTCTTTCTTTCTTTCTTTCTTTCTTTCTTTCTTTCTTTCTTTCTTTCTTTCTTTGTTTTTTGTGTCACACCCAACGATGCACAGGTGTTAATCCTGGCTTTCCACTCAGGAATATTACTCCTGATGTTGCTCGGGAGACTATACGGGATGCTGGGAATCAAACCCAGGTTGGCTGCGTGCAAAACAAATGCCCTACCTGCTGTACTATTGCTCCAGCCTCTCTGCTTTCATCTTAAGCTCAAGTGATGCCAGCATTTGCTTACTTACTCTCAGTTCTAGTTTTCTTCTCCTAAGCAATTTCTGTTGCACAAAGATAATCAATAGGAAACAAAGACTTGCACCCTGGACCACATCTCCTTCAGTTTTATCTCATGATAGCAATTGTCAGTTCAACAAGGTGTATATTTATGTCATTCATATTCCACTCTTAAATCATCTTCCACTCTTTTTCTGGGTTTTCTCCCCAAACTCAGAGCATAGCATCTGTCTCATGTTCACCAGAACATTTGGTCACAATGAATCTGAGCAAGTCTTAAAAGCCAACTCAGTTTCTGTCACTGCTACTGAGGATATAGATTCTACTAATCTCTTAGACACTCCAGACACTTTCATCTACTAGAACATTTATGTGGTGTTAGAGGAGTTTCAGAGTCAGAGCAATCAGATACAATGTCTTATTTCATTGGGGTGCTGGGCAGTTACTCAAGAGTCCAGTGCCCAGCTTGCTTTGCTCCTGGAACACATGGGCCATGTAGCTATAGATGGTTTGAACAAAGTGAGGGCATATATGATCACCTGTTACAGAGGACTGTTTCCCACCAAACATTTTTGCTATTTGGCTGCATGTGGCCTGACTGTTTCCCACCCAACCTTTTTGCTATTTGGCTGCATGTCGCCCAAGCACACAACACAGGTAACATCCTTCGCTGTAAATGTTCTCACTCCACATTCTCATTTAGCTGCAACTCCTGTATTAAAGGAAATATTGCTGGAGGACGTTGAGGTCATTGTCAGTAATCCTGAAATTACTCGAAGGTTGCTCTTAACTCAAAGTCAGTTATGTGGTAAAACACAGTTGAGAAAAATGGTGTTCACTAAATAGATTTCTCTTAAATGTCTGAATTTTGTCATGATCATTTGAGAGTCTTTAAAGGTGCAAATGAAATAAATTCTACATAACATTGACTACAAAAGAACATGATGGATTCTCCTTTTGCTAACACAGAAGCTTAGAACTAAATTCTTAGCTTTTTGGTTTTTTTTTTTTTGGTAATCAGTGTTCCAGCTTCTTAAATTAATATGAAAATACTTCATTGTATATGCTCATTGAGTTATGCTTTGTCCTCTTCAGAGGCACTAATATTTTAAAATACATATTTTTAAATATTATAGTTTGAAAGACTAAAATTCTGATAGTTTGCACACAAAAATTTTACATATTTTCCAGGAGATGCACATTTTCCTTCTGAAATACAAATGCCAGCATGATTTACTAAATTATAAAGATGAATTTTTTTCACTTATATAAGACTAGCTGAATTTATAATATATATACTTTATTCAAGATAAAGAAAAATTAAAGCAAACAATAGTTTAGCCCTAAAATTTCTATGAAAGACCAGTATAAATAAATTTTCTTATTAAAGACTACTGAAAAAATTATATTTTATAATTTTGCAAGATTATAGTGTATTTAGTGAAAGTCTATTGATCTCTGCTTTCATAATGCTAAGATAATTTTTCCAAGAGTTAAATCAATTAGTAAATTAATTTTCTCTCTAATATTACCACCAAAAATTACTTTCAGGGATATAACTACTTTTTCAAATGCCGTCTTTTATATTTTTAATTTTAGTAGCAAAAAAAATAAAATTAACTGACAACTTCTACTGTTGTACTCTAAATAAATGCATTGTCATAATTCATTAATGTATTTTGTTGCAAGCTTTTAAAAACCATGTTTTCCTGTCATGAACATATTTCATTAATTATTTTTATTAGAAAATTTGTCCTTTAAATTTTGGCATTATATATGTATACACATATGTACATATATATGAGAAATACACTTAACAAAAGTTACGAGAAAACATCACCTTTATGAATAACAAATAAACTGACATTTTTCTTTCATAATTCCACCTAACTAATGTACATGACAAGTAATTGAATGTAAATTAGAATAATCTTCAAAGTACATTAGATAAAAGCAGAATTAGCAGTAAGGATAACAAAAGCCAAGTCCTGTTCTGATATAGACTTTAAGGAATTTGATATTGCAGAGAACAAAAATAACAATGTCTGTCTCAACAGAAAAGAAAACTTCAGTCAATGACCCTGATTGTTTTCCTTCTGACATATTTACAATTTACATTGAAGTACATAGTATAACATAATCTAGTACATGATCATTTATATAATGTTTCCCACTAAATGTGTTGCTCAATTAATTTTGCTATTCTAATGTGTAGACAATACCAAAAATTTTTCACTAAAATATTTGATCGTAGAAAATTTATTAATGGGCACATATTTGTAATCCAGTGGAATAAATGATGTTCAAATGGCAATAAAGAAAAACTCATCTTTATGTGCTTCCAGTTACCTTCTTATTATAATAATATCAGCAATCATAATGAAAAATCATAATCAATATGATATTCTCTTGCATCGCTTTACTCTGCTACTCATAGATTTTCTAATCCATTTTTTGTTACAGGATGATGAGGTAAGGGAAAGTCGATTCAGCTTCACAGCTTATGGAATGGGACCGTGTCTGCAAGCAAAGGATGGTGTGACCCCAAAAGGCCCCAACCATCCTGTCCAGGTAATGCCAAAAAGCCCAGAGGAAATGAGAAAAGTTTTTGTCGACCGAGCCAAGAAGATTGACACCATTTCTCGAGCCTGTTTCCCGTTAGCTTTTTTGATTTTTAATATTTTCTACTGGGTTATCTATAAAATTCTTAGGCATGAAGATATTCATCAGCAGTAAGATTAAGTCTCTGGAAGCAAGCAAAAGTGAAAGGTCAATTCAGAAGGATTTTCTTTGCCATAGGTATGTGAGTGGGGGTGTGTGTCAGTATGCGCGTGTGTATTGTACAAATGATCACTGAAATATTAAAACAGTATTGGGGAAGGTTTTACTGTGATTTGCTATGCAAAGTCACGAGACAGAATAAAATTCTTAATAGGTACATAATAAACATATATCCTGGGGATTCTGTTTCATGTAAATTGGGTATTATTTGTTCTTTCGTAGTAAATAATATAAGTGCAAGTATTACAATCATTGTGTTTGTTATATAATATCTCACAATAGTACAAGTGAAAATATATTTGAATTCTCAATTTTTAACTCAGTGATATGAATTATAAACAAGTAAAATTGTACAGAAAACTTCATAAAGGAAAATAAGGCAAAGTTGAAGAAAATAAAAATCAATAAAGATTATTTTCTTATGCTAGAATTAAAATATAAAAATAATCAGCTAATTATTGGAAAATTCACCCAATACTGACAAAGTATTTTACAAACAAACACTGTTGCACTAACTTACATTATAACAAAAACATTTCAAGTCAGGAGATTAAAATAAAAAAAATCTTTATTGTTTGGATTATGAAATCATTATCTAAATACTAAATTTCCCTCCTTGGAAATTGAAGGCAAATGACTTAAATGACCAAATCCTATACAAAATCTACTTTTCTTAAATTTTGTATCTCTATGAATAAAGTAAAATCAGTAACACATTATTGTTTTAAAATGTGCTATAGCTAGGGCTGTTAGATATAGTCCAATGGGCAAGAAAATTATATGAATTACTCGGGTCCAATCCCTGGCACCCCACATGCTTCCTTGAGTCCCACCAGGTGTGATTCTTGAGCACAAAGCACAGGAATAAGACCTGAACCCAGCCGAGTGTGGGTCCCAAACCAAAAATTAGTAAATAAGAAATTAAAATGTGCTATTGCTATGTAGTCTTAATTATAGCTGAGCACTGATAAATTCAAACCAGCATTCTTGTTTTTGTCAGACCTTTAATATCTGCTTATTCGTCTGTACCTAATTATGTTTAATGTTTTGATAAAATTAATCAAAAATTCAGTAGAACTTTTATATTTTATTCAGAATGAGAGCATAAAATTCAATGGAATTAAAGTATTTGCATTTTTAAAAATGAACTTAATGAAAACAGTAATGGTTTTATGAGGGGTTTTTAATAAGAATTGTTTTCCATTCAAGAATTCAAACTCAACTCCAATAGTAAGTAGAAAAGATTTTAATTTTAAATTCTATTATGTAGTTTCTATAAAGTAAGCATTGATTGTTTTTATATTTATAAATTAATGATTTTAATATAATACATTCACTAGTTGTGAATAGTTTTAAATGAAATTTTTACCTAAAATTATCATGCATTAACTTGTTTCTAAGTGCAAACACATGGTATAGCTTTGGGTTAAATTGGACCAAACTCAGTCTTTCAAAGTTTTATTTTTTTTCAAAATTATTATTCTTTAGACTTTAAAAGTATTTTTAAAATGTCTGAATGCATTTTTACATTTAATTACTGGTCAGGTTTGAAAAGGCTTATGAAATTATTGACAGAAAAAGGTTTAAATGGCATGGAAACAAGCTAAGATTTAAAAGAGGAAAATGAATAAGTTTGAACTGGATTTTACTATTTCCTCAGCCTCTATCACTCTTAAACTGAAAGCAAGAACTGCCATTTAAAGTTGAAAACTTCTCAATGTTAATGAATTTTGATCTATTCAATCAAATTTTTTAAGAAGACTTTAAAAAGTATATGTTTTCCAACTTTTGCTAGTGAAAGACCAAATGCCATTTCCTTTGTAAGATATTTAAAATAATATTAAGGGGAAAACATTATGTTTAGAATTTAATGTAAATACCATAACTAAAAAAATTACTATATTTCCCTACCTTAAGGCCCATGCATACAAAGATGAGCATATGTTTCTTCATTTTGTGTTTAGCAACAAAAAAATAGGTAAACATACTAAAAATATTGTTTGTATTCTCCAGAAGATAAACTAAAGAGTTTGAAGTAATGTACTACATTCTTTCAATGTCTCTGAAATACTTGAACACATTTAGTTGTACCATGCACATCTTATTTTAAAGGTTTTCTGTCTTTTAAAATTAATGGTATTTTTCCAGCACAATCATAAACATAAATGAGTATATGACTCAAGAGGAAATTCGCAATTATCACTTATTTTCATATTTGAGATATTAAAATATCTGTTTTAAACCTAAATATTAGACTAGAAAATACTAATCACAAAATAATTTGTCAGCAAGTTAGTAGAAATGTCTGCCAACTACTATTTCACTAGTATTATACTTTACTTAGGTATAAATATACATGTCATTTTCTTTATATACAATAGAAAGATTTAGATAACTATCATCATAATGACAACAGTATTAGTTGATAAGAATGAAGTCTAATAAACTCTTACAAGCTTCTTCAAACGTGGAAAACAAAACAGAAAGGTAGTAGAAGGTAGAAAAGAGTTAGGGAGCTTTCCTTAACACACAACTGACCCCAGTTCCATCCCCAATACCACATAAGGTCTGCCAAGAGTCTTTTCTGAGCACAGTGCCAAAAGTAAGCCCTAAGCACCACCAGGTGTGGCACAAATATACTCCCCCCCTCCAAAATAAAATTAAAAATAAAAGTGGATGACAACATTATAATTTGTAGATATGTTAGTTTTTTTTTTACCTCAACAGTCTGTGCCAAAGTCTAATATTTCAAATTTTAAAGACCAGCAAGTTTTTAATGATGAGAAAATTAAAGCATGTACATTTTCTACTAACTGCTCACTCATATATTAGAATTCTATTATGAGTATTCTGAAGTATTTTGAAGTAACTACGCTAGAACATGTGTAATTTTTATACCTGCAATTTATTTGGTTTTTAGATAATTATGTATTTCAGTAATTAATACATGGTTCCATTGTAAATACCTTTGCATATTTTTATGTGCCTATTTTCCTCCTTCTTTCCCCACATTAAAATTGCAGTTCATTTGTATTGGGAACTCAGAACTTTCTTTACTTAAAAATAGATTACAGAATCACTGTGGAAGCAAATAATAATAATAACAAGACACTAATAATAATAATAATAATCACCGTCATCATCATTATAATCAATGGACTTTAAGACTTTTCCAACTTTTCCAAACATTTCTCCATAATAGTTACTGGGAGAGTTTCTGAAACTTCTATCGACTATAGAAGGGAATCAAATTCTGTGACAAGTCCATAGTCTATGGTTGTAATCTAATACATACCTTGATAAATTACTTACAAATGCTTTAAAATTCTTATATCCCTAAAATATGAATCCATGCAATTGGTTTCTGAATTTCTTCCTAGGATTTTATGGTAGACAATGCATAATTTAGGAGGGGAAATGTGTCTACATGTTTAATAGGACAAAGAAAGTTGTTAATTAATTTGGCATGCTACATCTTAAGCGATTATGTTGTAGGAAACAATAGACAACTGTAACACTGTCTTTTGCCCCAATTTTAAAAACATGCATTTCCTTTTTCTGTTCCCCCACACACACACTTTTTTTTTGGGGGGGGGCACACCTTGTTATACTAGGGGTTATTCTTGGCTCTGCCTTCAAGATTTACTCCTCCTAGTGGCCCTCAGGGGACCATATGAAATGTCAGGAATCAAACCCTGGTAACTGCATGCAAGTCAAATGCCCCACCCGCTGGACTTTCACTCCAACCCCCGCTTTTCCTGTTTTTAACACATATACCCCAACCTACCAGTCAGGTGGGGGGACTGAACATTATATTGGTGTTTAAGTGCTCCTTAGCATATTCATGAGATGGACTTGTGAGAATAAGGACGGCCTATGTTAAAGTAGAAAGTATTCTTGATATTTAAAGTAGAAAACTGAAGTACTGAAATGTAAACTATCCCTTAGCAACTGAAAACACCAAAGAATAAGACTCTGCAAAAGGAAATGAACCAACAGTCCTTACACCTATAGTAACTAAGGTCATGCTTTCTCCAACATAAGTACATATACTTTATAATACATACAGATAAATAAATATGCTCCAAATTTATCAGCATGTAATATCTGCACTTCTCAACCGATATTGTACTTGTAAATAAAAGCAAGTGATTCAAGCATACACATAAATTTAGATATAGCCCACGAACATTCATGAATGCAGATTATATAATGATTGCCAAATGATGGAGTTGCTTAAGAAACATTAAGAGAATAAGTATGGCTTATACCTAAAAGTTACTTAAATTCTAACTCTCTCCAAAGTAAATAAAATCATTCAAAACATAAACTATAAGATAACAATTATCCTGCTCCAGTGAGCTGATGAGCAGATTAATCAGGAGTTGCTTTATTGATTTAGAGAATATTTTTTGCATCTTTATATTTGCAAGATTGTCATTTGGATTATGCTCACCTGTCAAATTTAGTTATGATAATGGAAACTTGCTTGTTAATTTAGATTTGCAAATTCTGCATTAGCTCATTGACATATTTATATTTAATTTCTGGACTTAGCTACTTGCTACTATAATAATGTTGAAGCTCTTATCATAATTAGCTCTAATTTGCAGTCAATTCCTGGCTTCATGTGCTTTTATTTCAAAGATGAATTCAACTGCAACCATCGCACCTTTGCATTAAGTGACAAATTGGTTACTCCTGTAGTCTAACCCTTAACACAAAATTGAAGGATTTTCTGGTTATGGATTTTTAAAAGATTTTGACAATGTATCTTTCTCTGGGCAGGGAGGGTTATTAAACCTCTTTGAGTAATGGATGATAAAAATTCAGGACTAAGAATCCTTAAATTCTGTAAAATGCTGAAAATGGAATATAATGGCTATGTGGTATTGTTCTTGACAGTGCCTTCATAAGCTTTAATGAAGCTTTATCCTCTGTTCTGAGCTACATTGCCATTCATACTGCTGCAGGAATAATCCTGTCCATCTCAATGCTCATTGGAATAATATCTTTAAGCACA